ATAGAAATTTAAGATATAAACAACTTAGGGCAAACTTTCTACAGGGATTCTAAGTTATACCACTTCCGAATATTTCATCAGTTTAGGCCTTGAATGTTACAAAAAAAAATCCTGTATTTTTCCCCATTTAAAATAGCAGTACTATAAATCAAGTAATTGCAAAAGGTCAAATGTCTCCACATTTTTCCACCACAGACCCACCAGGGCAGGGACACAAGTGAAAACAAGCTGAAGACAATGTGGAGTGAGCCCCTATAGAAAAGAAGCCAGCCTAATGCTCAGCCACAGTCAGGCAGACAAATATCAGATCTGAAGTTATTAAAAAAGTAACAGAGGAAAACCAACAATACCTCTGTAAGGAGCAGTTTGAGTAGAATGTAGAGGAGTGATTATTTATCTCAAGAAGGTGACAATATCTATAAAAATGGCAATGAAGGAACTTTTGTTCACAATATGCTTTTTCAAAAATAGATTGTCAAAGTACATGGCCAGATAATTCAAATTCTTTCTTCTGAAACTTAGTTCAATCTTGTGTGCACTAAAACAAATCCTCCACAGCCCATTCAAAAGAGCTGTACTATTCACATAGTGAAAACTAATCTGATTTCAGAAGTTTTAAATGTGTCAACAGATCAGGTTTCACTAAGGGCACCTGTACCTGCCCAGGCAAGGTTCTTGTGCACACATGATGTTTTGGCATGATGGAGTCCCTGTTTTTAAGAACACTGTTGGGATACACCAATTAAGATATGCACACAGTAGTCCCACACTTGGATCACGATTTTGTACGCACAAAACATTACTGCAGTATTTACTTTATAAATCAAGATAACCCAGCAGCAACAGGTGAGTCTCTTAAGTTTTAGTTCAAACTGGATACCTAGGGAAGACTGGCCATGAAGATGCAGCCAGCAATCTGTCATTTGACAAATGGTGTTCATTATGCTTACAGCCACATTATTATTTGTCTGGGTAGGTGACTGAACCTGAAAAGAGGGGTAGTGGTACTTGGCAAAAAACAGCCAGAACACACAGACACAGTTGTATGAGCTGCTCAGGTAAGCTTCTGGACTCAGGTGGTATTTCATACCCTAGTCATAACAGGAGAGCTAACTTTAGCCAATGAAATTCCATTGGTTATCTCCCTAAATGTTTTTAAAGCTTAACAGCAGCTGAAATTTTAACAATGATTTAAACAGAACCTGCAGAAGGTATAAATTGTAAATATTTACCTCATTATTGACTGAAGCTACTGTTAAATGCCAAAAATGTTTAAACGTTTACTCAAGTTTTGTACAATATATCTACATATCTGCAAATTTGCCCCATCCCCCGTTTTTTTTTCTTTTAAAGGTTATTCTGAAAGTCAGAATTACCAAAATCAGTACCAGTTCTGAGGATTTAAAGGGAATGAGCTCTGTCTCCTGAACTGAAACAAATGCTACCTGCAAGATTTACATCTGTGCTGCCGACTGCATAGGAACAGTTCCTTTATTTGATGGCTATTTCTTCTTTCTCAATACAGTCATCTCATTTTCAACACTGATTGTGCAATATTCACTTTTGTAACACGAATATTACTGTATAATGTGGTCTTACAATATTTGTAATATTTCCTCATCTATTTGAATGCCTCATATGTCAGCAGTAAGCTTTTTAGGAAAATAAATGCCTGCTTTTGTTTTTTTCTATTTTATGGCACCCTGACATTGAGCCAGTACATGGAACCCTGGGGATGGATACAAATGCTAGGAAATAACCACATATTTGCTAGGTTTATAGGTCACATTTTCAAATGGACTGGGATAGATTTAGCTCAAAGTAATGTTTAGAAAATCTGGAAGCCTTTTACCACTGCATATCCCCACCATTTAGAGATAACTGGCTACTTTTAGGTAACAATTAACATAAAACGCTTTATTTGTATGAATAAACAACACCTGTAGTCCATATATTTAAAATACTTTTTCTGCTGTCAGAACTTACTTCAAGCAGGCACCATGTACATTTTACATCTGAAACAGCCACGAAAAAAATATTTACAAGCTTAAACCGCATAACGGTGCATAGGTAAATACAGGAGAAAGACTTCCTGATAGGAAGATTGTTTCAAGCTTCAGGAACTCTTTTGCAGGGGGTCCCAAGACGTGGAGAAAAGCACAAGAATGTGATGTGCAACTCCGCCTGGGGCCACAAGGTAGAGCCAGCAGCGCGTTCCTGAGCCCTGCAGCCCAGCTGGTCCCAACACACCTTCCCGGACCTAACGGGGACCAACCCCCCACAGAAATAGGATGTGCTACTGAAAATGAGATCATCAACCCAAGATGTGCATCTGCAAGTGAAAAAAGACAGCACGAGGCTTATCAAAGGTTCATTCTGTTTCGGTACGTTTATCACAAGCCTGGAAGTTGGGTTTTGAGATGTGTGCAGCTTTTCTGCAGAGAAGCAGCACTTCATGCTTGCCCTGTTCTGATATTTCTCCCCAGGGAAGACTGCAGAGCACTGAGGTGAGCAACAGAAGCCACTCCTGACTAAAGCTGAGGAGCAGTGCTCGCTCTGTTCATTTTCCCCATCAGTACTCAGTGCTATGCTTCTGGAGTACTTTTAAACACAAAATTGTGCTATTCTTTTTTTCATTATCACTGCTCCCCTTCAAGAGAGGGCAAGGTGTTTTCTCCTTGGATATCATTTACTGCAATTAGTATGTTACCAACTGTGCACGTGCATTACAGTGCAGGGGCAGATGTCTTTGCCTTCACACAGCCCTGGACTGCAGAGCACTGACACTTAACTGCAGGTATCAAACCAACAAGGAATAGCAATGAGAGGAAATAAATCTCCTGTTTGCAACGTATTCCTATTTGATTCCAAAGTTAGAGATGAAAAGCCATGTTTGGAGTAACTTTTCTAAGTACAGCTTAACAGAGCTTAAATCTGTATTTTTCAGAATATACTTAAGATAAAAAAGTGCATGGGAAAAAAAACCCTACATATTCAGAGATGCCACAGCACCTAATAAATAATATTACAGTGATGGCATTTTGTCATTATTACATGCACTGCTCAAGATAAAATAAACGCGCCAGTTACATATTAAATGTCAAAGATAAACTTTAATGTTTTCAATCCTGCCAATAAAAAATGGACAAGTGAACAGTCCACAGACCTCATGTTTCCTTCTCCTAGCTTTAAACACGTTGCTATGCTGCTGTTTTCAATAACTGTTTAGGTGAGGGCAAATTTTTAGATGCTATAAGGCATTCAAATAATCACAAGATCAATTCTCATGTTATCAATGAATATAAAACTACTAGTGCCAGTTCTGCATTCACTTTACATTTGAAATACAGAACTTAATGAAAAAGACTGTGCACTTAAGTATGTAATTTTTGCAATTATTTTTGTTCTGTAGTTTCCAACAAGTTGGTATTTGCCCGGCTAATAATCCAAAAAAAGTCTTAAATCCTTATGTACAAAATTAGAAAAATATTAGTACTGAGAAACTGGAACTATGTAAAGCATTTAGTTGTAACACTACTATTTGCTATATTGCTATATAAGTGAGATTTTTTTTCAAGCACAGTTGTTTTCTTCCAGCACTTTGCTCCATCCTCCACATCATTTTCTTTCCTTGATCTTCTGCTGAAGATCCTTGGGTTTGGAGCTGTTGTTTCTACCCATTATTACAATCTGTTCCTTCTTCTTTCTCATGTTTTTGTTTCTTCACTCTGAGCACAAACTTATGCTCTTGTGATCATGTAACTCTCTGTGCTATGATGCATTTCCTTGCACTCATTTCTCCTCTTCCATACAGTGCTCTGTTCTGAACTCTCATTTTCACTTGCCTGGGAATATGAAAGTATGAATTCCACCATCTACCTACATACAGAAATAGGTCAGGAACAAATACATGCTGACAGCAAATTCTCCCACATCTGAGAAGATAAACAGCATTCACAATTGGTCCAGAAATTGCTCTCTCTGGGAAGTCACTGTTTGGCCACATGCAATTCCTACAGGGGAAGAGATAAGACTGCCTCAAAATTTTGATGCAAGTCTTTTTATTATAACATTCCTCAAACTTTACAAACTGCAACCATCTTCTCATACATTTTTGTGCAACTGCTCAACTTGGCAGAAGCAGAGAGGAGTGACAGTCAGCTGGATTTTTTGGCTGCAGGTATAAACATTGACTCCCCTCCCCTGAAGGATTAAACTGCTGCCAGCAACCTGAGGAAATTCACAGTTCCCTAGTGAATGGGAAATACTGCCACTAGTTATTTCTTTCTTCCTACCCTGGAGGAACTGAGCTGTTGCCAATTAACATAGTATTTTCCTACACTTTGCAATCCCTTTGAACTTTTTCAGGATTTTACAGGAAACAGTTTTGTCTCTATGTAAATCTATTCAGTGCAAATCCCAGTCACAAAAAAAGGACTGATAACTGTAGCAGAAGCTCCTAGACAAGGGAATCTTGTTAGTCTGCATCCATTACTCAAAAAAATGTAGTATTTCAAACCAATTTGTACAAAAGCCAAGAAGAATCTAAGTGCAATGGAAAAGAAAACACAGTGACTAACAAATAAAGTGCACATGAGACAAACTACATTCAAAAATTCCACGGGTTGGAGATTATACTGCTTTTCATGTTACTGCCCACATTACTACAAGCTGTCATTTCTCAAGAAATAGGATTAAAAGCTGACTATTCTATTCTGCATACATCATGAACGCTCATAATGTTTAATGACAGAGAAACAACATATTTTCAGGGTAAAGGGACAGGAGACTGGCAACTGGAATATTGGTATGGGACTGCTGCTGAAAGAAAAGCTTCTCTTCCCCAGTTTGATTTTCATCTGTCCACATACATAGCAAGATACATGCAGAACTCATCTCACACTAGTCAAAAATACCCTCTCATTCGCCTGAATAACTGCATTGCTTTATTTTAAAAATTCTCAGAGATGTCTTCTTTATGTAATAGGTTAAAAACTCACGAAATCAGCTTCAAGTTTTCCCATTTCTTGTTTGTAGCTTCTCATTCGACTGCTGTACATCCCTCGGCTTTGAGGCGGGATCTCTCGAACTTCAAGTTCCATCTGCTCAAGCTGATAAGTAAAAACAAAGAGGAGGTATATAAATCAAAAGGTTAATTAAAGCAAAAATAAATTTACCTAAGTTCAAGAAATATTCTTCCTTTATAAGGAAAAACGGTGCTTATTCTGCAATATATAAACAATTTATCAACTTCTTTGCACAGTCTTAAGTCAAGAAATAAGTGACATTAGTATTACTAACACTCAGAGGGAATTATTTGAGCCAAACATTTCTAGATAATTCCTGCAAATAAGCATAGTTCAAAAGAAAGCCTACATCCACCTAGCTGGGTAGTTTTGGAAACCATTGGCTGAAAAAAGTATTTTACATATATATATATATATTTTAAGTTTTATTTACCACCAGTCTGTATGTTTCAAATCTGACTACCTAAATCTATGTCCCAAATCTATATGCAAGTATATTAAATATCTTTTATCTTAGAATTTCAGGGTTCAGTGACAATGCTATTCAAGAACTTGTATAGATCAAATGGATTAAAAAATTAGAGACATATTCTATCTTTCAAAAGCTTTTTTTATTTATTCTTGCCATGTGGAATTCCAAGGAGCCTGAAATATTACATTATGGCACAGGGGTACAGCAAATCAAAAGCTGTAAATGAGGGCTGCTAATGACCTGCCCACTGGGCCTTGGAGCCTGCTCTAAATGGTGCTGTCTGTTCAGGAATTCTATTCTGAACAGCAGAAGAATCCCATGCCTGCCTTTTAAAATCTTTTCAATTCACTTGAAAAAGATAAAAGAATACCTCTCCTTGCTTGCTGTAGGCACCTGAAACAATATTTACTCACCTCCTACTGATCTGGGTTGAGCAATATGGCATAGGAGCAGAAATGCTTTTCAATTAGGGTCCAGGCTACTGGTTGCAGGTCTTCACAAGGGACTGCTAGAATTTATTCCTAAGTAATCACTTGCTTACACTTTGAAATTTCATCTTCATATCATAAGAAAAGCATCTGCATTTAATCAATGGAATTGCCAGATACTCAAAAGTCATTTTGCCTGATCTATTCTGATTATACAAAATTATATTCAATAATAAACTATAAAGCAGACTTTAATTAAATAGTCGCTAATGAATTGAAACCCACAAAGCAATTTCTAATTCTACCCAGGTCTTTAGCTCAGGCTTAACTTTCCAGAGGGGTATTATAAATTAAACCAATAGCTGGAATTAATAGCTTATTTCTTATCTATTTCATCTTAATATATTTGATCTCAAATGTTCTATAAACATTTCTTTCATAGATATATATAAATATATGTGCAAGGTTGGGAAATTTTAATGAAGTCTCAATTCTTGTCCATTACATAAAAACATCTACCAGTAAATCCAGAATTTGCACCAACAATCAGACCGTGGTCCATGGAATCTAAAATTTTCATTCCAAAGAGTTAATATTAGAGAGTTTAAGGTCCAAGGAATGATGAAGCACATTGAGGCTGTCCAATATTTACCAATGTTTTCTCATCATGAGATTAAATGGGTGCATTTTGTGGCTGGGTTGAGAAACTTCCATGGGAAGCCATGCAGAAGACAGTGGTCCTAGCAAGTGTGAACCTAAATGCAACCTAATTTCATGTATGTCCATTTTCAGAACTCATATTATTGGTCATAGAATAATGTTTTTTCATAAACAAGCAAAAACAGAGCAGCCCTCCATATTTCCATTCAAAAATAAAACAAAATAGTGTGGCTAATGTTGTCCACTCAAAATAAGTCTCACCCTCCTACAGGAACTTCTCCATAGGAATCTGCTCTGGACTCTGGAATCAGCTGCTAGCATTTTAAGCAACTTTTAAATGTCACTATTTTACTGGAACTAAAACAGAGATCTAAACTAAAAAACACAAGACAAGAATAACCCAGCATTTGCAACATAACAATTTTGTGATGTGTCCTTCATCAAAGATCATCAATCAGATACTCCACATCAGATGTAGAACAGGATTTCTCTCCAGAGATTTCTTACTCAGCTCTGGCTTGAAAAGGCAGCCTGGGAGTCTGAAAGTTTTCATGTCAGTTCTGCACACACATCCAATCAATTACACCAGTGATTTTACCCAAACAAAGCAGACAGTGTTTTAAAACCATCACTGCTTAGTGAATACAAATAAATTATCTCTATAATAACATTTATAATACATGAGAGTGTTATTTCCTAGCCAAGTAGGAAATAAAATCAGCTAACCCCACCTTTGACTACGCAAGACAATGAAGCAAACCAATGCATGAAAACTATCAGCAGCAAGGAATTAGGTTTATTTTGATTTTCTACTCTAGCCTCTAGTTTAAAAGAGGATCTTTTTAATCAGTTCTGTTATTAGCAGATTTGTTCAAATTGATTTCTAAACCCAAGCCTTGACATTAATCACAAACATGTTGGGTAATTGCTCAAAGCCAATAACTGAATCTAAAGATCTAAAAAAAATGTGTGAAAGAAAAGCCTGTACATTAAATCATGATTATTGTTAGGATAAAAATACAGATACTGGATTTATTTTTTAATCTTGTAATAAATAGAAACTTAGATGATTTTTTTTCTGACATAAGGAGAGAAGTAAGAAGCCATTAATTCAATTTTTGCTCCTTCCAATCTACTACAAATGTGAATGACCACCAACACTGGAGCTTCTCTGTACTGCTCTGTCTTTTGCCAAGTCAACTTGTAGTGAAAATGAGCTGAAAAACATTTCTAGATTTCTACTTTTTGCAACTGTTTGAATATGAAAGTGCCCAAAAGGCCTTAATGTATCTTCAGAACATGCTCACGAGATGAGACAGTAATTTTACCATGTTTCTCACTGGGAATACCAAATCAGGAAGGTTAGGTGCCTTGTCATCCTCACAAGGCAAAACTGTAGGAACTCATCCCAAGATCCAGCTTTTCTGAATGCTATTCCAATGCTCTGGTCTAAAAGATTAATTCTATTTCTAAACCAAAAGCACCATGTATGCCAACAAACAGCAGAGAGACTTTTTTCTTCCTATTCCAAAAAATCAATTTGCTTAGTAGCCAAATAATTGATTCAAGTTCCTTCCATTATAAGAAATTCTAGGGTAGAAAAGCCAATTTCTTTCCCTATCCTAACATTCAGATTACATTTCTGACATCAGATAAACCAAACCCATTTGCAAGCAATAAACAAAAGCAACTTCTGGTAAGGAACTATTGGCCATGTGGGAAAAGACAATCTTAGCTGTCTCCAACACCTTTGCTCAGTTACTCCACATCTACAAAACTTTACTCTTATCCTCCTCCCAGATGGAAGACACAACAGGCCGTACTGGCAACAAAATAAATAAAAGAAGAGTCACAGTTGCTTAGCACATGTTGTTACATACTGGGTTTTTTTTGTCAGTGTGAACCACAAACTAATGCTTGATTAACACCTACACTCTCCTTGGATCAGTGACCCACACTGCCACGGCCCCCTTATCCTCACCTTTATGTCTCACTTGCTAAAATAGAAAAAAAGATCTATTGCTCTACAAGACATTCTGAGAGATGAATGAAGTAGGTGTTTGAGTCTTACAAGTCAAAAACAAAGTCATGGTGTGTAAAAATTTAATTACATTCCCAAAGTAAAAGACCTAATCCACAACTCTAAGTTGTAACTTTTTACTGAGTTACAGCAATAGTGCAAACCTTGCATCACATAACACAGGATTCAAAAAAGATACACTATTCTTGTATTTCATATCCTCAAATAAGAACTATTTCAAGAATATTGTTTCATTTTCTAATATAGCACTGTTAAATATTTTTAGGGCATGAGTGTTAAGTGTTACTATCAATGATCCTATTATTTTTGTTAGAAATTTGCAGTTAACATATGAAAAGCCAGAACATACCAGTTCCCTCGCTTCTTCAAGCTGTTTCTCAACATTTGCAACCATCTGCTTCTTCTCATCTGAAACAGAATTGTGAAAATACCAATATAATTGTGCTCTTACTATGAAAGAAAAACATACCATTTCAAAAGACTGCATGTATCAGCTAAAACACTCAAGATTTATTCTGTGTGACATCCTCACACATGGTGATCCATATATTAGTAATTAAAAAAAAAAAAAAGAGACTGGAGAATCCTTGAAGTCTTCTGCCTTGTTATGCAGCATTTGCTAGTTAGGAAAGCACTTACAGTTGCTTCAGCTGTAGGAATTATGCCTCAGCAGGCACTTGCTGGTGTGTACAAATGCATGAGAAGGCACATACATACACTAAATGGAAAAAAATCATATAAGAACAAAGGCTTAACATATTAATTTGAAAAATATGAGATGCACAAAAGTAAGCATCCCAATTAAAATGAATTCTGGTTCTGAAGAAAAATGATGTTTCTATTCCCCTACTCCTATGATGGGTCTAGAATAGTTTCTTTTGTTTCACCAGATATGAAATGAAATGCCACAGGTACTACAGTAAAACCACTGTTTTCTAGTAGCAGTAAAAATAGAAATTAGTAATAAAATATGAAAAAATTTAAAAATTCAAATAAGTTTTAAGCTATACATAGCAATCACCATCTGCCAGGTTCCCCAGCAAGGCTCTATCCCAGCTACAGAGACTTTTGGCCTGTCCCCAACCATCCATTTGCAGGAAAAGAATCCAAACTCTGAGCTGAGAACTGAGACTCAGTTTAACATCATCACACACATTCCAATTGCTTCACAACTTGGTTTGTTATAGCATGAAAGGGAACAGAGAAATAATCAGACACTGGTTAATAAAATGTCCTCACATTGCTTCATTACTGTGGGTATTCAAGGGTTTCAATCCTACCATTGCATCTTCCAGCCTTCAGACTCTAAACCCACCCATTGTGTCAATGAAATCAACAACAAAACTCTGAACATACAAATGGTTTGTTTGAAACCAGGAGTATCATGAGACATCTGTACTTGTGGTTTGCCTAATGAAGCAGATAAAAAGTGAATGTCACCAAAGTGTCTCCAGTCACAGCTCCCCAGAGGTCATGATGGATAAGTCCACGTTGGTACAAGACTTGATGATGTATCTCTAAACTTCAGAGCTTTGTTTTTAAGTCTGAATCCCCTTGCTTCTCTTCCAAATGATCTCTTTGTATCCTGGAACTGACACACCAAAGACCAAAAGGGACTATCTGATGATTATTCAATCCTCTGCATTCCACAAGGCACTGAAATTCATGAGAGGACCCTTTAATAAAGGAACATAAATCAGCTTCTCACAGGCTGAAATGCCTATCCACCTGTCTTCTCATTCACCTAAAATACTCTACACTCATTCAAGGACACAGGACCATCACAATCTGTCCTTCCTCAGTTACATACACTGGAGCTCTGCCTGCAGAGAGGATCAGGCTTGGGACCATCTTTCCTGCAAATCTGGAATTCACACTGCCACATCTAGTGAATTCTACCCCAGCAGAAGATGCAGGAAATATTTTCTGTGTAGCACTTTTAGTTTTCTGCATAGTACTTTTAGTTTTCTGCAAGCAATGTCTTTCTTTAATTCCCCACCAGGTTCTCATGATGACACCTAGGCCAGAAAATTCAGAATTTTATCTTCTTAACACAAAAAAAACAAATCTGCCCCTTCCTCCCCTCCCCATACATTTCTAGTCTCATATCCCAAAACATGTCTGTTCTTTCCTTCATTTGGAAATTAGCAAGATGACAACGGAAGAAAATAAAAACAATGGAAGGTATGACATACATTATACCATTTTATTGAAGCTGAAATAAAAATTTAAAATATAGTAGCAGAAAATAAATTACTATAGCATTTTTGGTACTTCCCTGAGTTGTACTGGATCACAATTTTCATACACATTTAGTAACCTGAAATTTAGGGATATTGGAAGGTATTTCATGCTGAGCAAATTGTACTTGTACTTGTGATTACAAGAACTACTCAGCACTCCACTGGCCAGTGAAGTCTTACTGACCCACAAACAAATTTAGCCACAGACTTTTGTAGGGAAAACTCATTAGTACAGAAGGTCTGGCTAAAACTGCTCTCATAAAATTAGGAGAAGAGGGTATTCAAATGATCTCCAATGCTTGAGTTAATTAATTTTAACCCAACTCCAGATTTTAACGGTGGCCCCAGGTACATAATCCCCCAGATGGTGCCCAGGACAACTGCCTTTGTTTTTTCTTCAAATACAGATACGTGAGCAAGCACATGGCAACATCCCAGCACTGCAGCTCTGGAGCAGGATCTTCACAGATTTCCAGGAGAGCAGCTAAACTTGTTGCAACTGCTGATTCTCTAGGGCACACAATACCATGTAACCTTGGTTTCCAAAGCATTTTTCAGTTTTACTTCAATGGTTAAGCAAAGGAAACAACTTATTTCACAGCCAGAATCCCCATAAGAAGGGGGACACTATACTCACAAGTTGACTTGCTCAGAGACTGAAAGTGAGATCCAAGGGTAAGAGAACAATCTCTAGGTGAGAGAAGTTTGCCACTGATCAAGTAGATCAGGACAAACAAGTTACAGTCCAATTAAAGATGCTTATATTACTAATTGTATTAGTCCACTGTGACTTAGCAGTTTTCAACCTGCCTACTCAGTCACTTCCTTAAATACACTTCCACAGGAAATGAAGAAAAGGCGTTTTATAACTTTTCGTTTTGATTGAGAATTCAAATATCCTTTAGAGAAAATAAAAAACAATGCTCCATCAAATGTATCTAAATGTATTTTTTTTCCCTACATTGCTAGACAGAATGCCCCAAACAAAATATTCCACATAGTTCATATAATTTAAGTGGTGAAATCGACAAACTATGAATAAAGACTGGAAACAAAAGGGGGTTTTCCTCTGCGTAGGATTGCAAACAAATCTGTTCTCCGTTTTTACACAACAATATAACACTCTGGTTGTATCACTTCCTTAAAAGACACAAGCTTTCACTACATTTCACCCAGTTCTTTCAGCTTTGCCCTGGCAATAGACACTTTCTTTGTCTCCCAAAATACAGCAGTTACAGAAAGGTGGGAATCTGTCTGCAAGGTTGGAAAGATAATACAGCACTAGTTTAATCTCAAAGTCAACAAGGACGTTAAAAAAACCTGAGTTAAGACTGAATAGTCCCACTGCCCGTGGAATTTCTTCTTTTCATCCGTACATGCTGAGGAAGTGAGTAAGAAAGGGCTTCAGTTCACTTGCAGATGTTGCTGTGCTCACTCAGGTGGTTACATGTTCACTACTGCCAGAAGTTACTGTCCAACAGCAGAGATAAATAGAATACATGCATTTCTCTCTTTGAGTTATGAAACTGGGATCAAGAGGAATTACATAATGAGCCGGACCTGAAATTGAGACAGTAAACTTCAGTACAGGAGTACAACAGAAAATTAAAGGTGAGGCTTTCTTCAGGCAAACCTGTTAGCAACTGAAATGCAGCACTTTGATTGCCCAGCAGAAAATGCAGGTACCAAGAATCAGAAGAATGGCAGCACTCCAGCCCAAAGCCATCACAACTCAGAGGCTACTGTGCTGGGAACAGGCTAAGTATCAACATTTGTGCTGATAAAACTCTCTTTCATATCAAGCAAACAAAATTTATATGAAATTCTGGACAAATCACAAGACAGATGTTTCTCTGAAACACCAAGGAGCATGAATAAAACACATCAGTCAATTATCTTCATTCTTCAAAGACCTGCAGCAGCATCACAGAAAATCTATTTAAAAGGCATTTCTCTATTTATAACTTTCTTTAATCCTCCAGGTGATGTCTGCCTCAACAACAGAAGACATTTCTTCACAAGACGTTCTATTGTCCCTGCTGCTTATTGTTTCTGTGGTATCAGAGAGCTTTGTTACAGTTCTTGCTGAACTACTTATGCATTTGTGACAACAGGGTTGTCTGCTGAGCCATCATCCTTCTAGAACACAAGACAGCATCATGTCCTGACAACACAGAATGCAGGAATGTTGCAAAACCAATTAACCAGAATTTCTCCATTACAGCAGGTCCATCTTGGGCAGCAGAGGGAAATAACCAGTCACTAGACTTCAGGAGATCTCTCTTTATTATGCAGAATGGCACAAGTCCTTACACCTTTCATCCTGCTTCTTCCAGCGGAGAGGAACAAGGCCATCAGCAATCTCTCTCAAATCACTGCTGCTGAAAACTGTCACCTCATGCTCCCCTCCCACCTCATAATCCTCTTTTTGAGCCTCTCCCAGCCATCGCCACAAGAACTAACTGGAACTTCTGGTGATGAAGAAGCAAAGATCTTGCAAATATTCCTATTAAGAAACAAGGGAAAAATGTGTATTTAAAATAGTTCTGATAAATTGTTCAGCATAATCAGATATTTTTTTTCCAGGTGGTCAAATGCCTCTGTTATCTAAGACTGCAGTTTGTTTTGAAGTAATGGAAAGTGTTTTCCCTGATGAAAGACAGAATAGCCCAGAAGCAATAACTAAGCCATAAACGTACAGTGCAAGAAGCAGCTATAATGCAAGTCAGTTTGAACCACGTATGACCAACCTCAGATACAACATGGAGGAAAAAAAATTAACTTTTGTCTTATCTTGACTCCATTTTGCCTAGGACCACGTTACTGGTCCTGCAGGGAACATGCATTCTGTCTGCTCTGAGAGGATGGCAAATTCTATTAAAAAAGTAACCTTCTAATGGTCTCATAAAAGAGTGATGATTTCAAAGCCTGCTGCTTCTAGGTTATATCACTGTTGAAGCCAATACTCTCTAAACATCTTTTATTTAAGCTCAAAAATCTCCCTAAGTGAATAAGGGAGACTGATTCAAGGAGAGGATTATGGAAATCCACTACTATTAAGCAGAATATTCTTCCTACCATCGAACAGACTCTGATGACTTCCAAAATCTGTACAATTAGAAACTCAAATCTCTATTCTTTACAATCAGGGAATTAAACCTCTCTTTTCCTATAAATCAGTCTAGCACTATTGATTTTCAGAGGATGAGCCAGTAGTGTATTTATGATGTCTCCCTGTTCCTGCTAGAGATCTTTACACTTACTGTTCAAAAGTTAAGAAGCCTTTGTAAAGGATTCCCTGTATCCTCTCAGTAAATGCTTCCAGTGCCCATTTATAGGTTAAATATAATTTCTGAGCAGATTAAATTACACCAGTTATAAAATTCAATCACAGGAACTCTGATCCTCTCTCTTCTTCATTTTGTAAGTTTCCATTAGAAAACAGACAAATTTTTCCACCTCAGCTGCAGCTTCTGACTGAATTAGCTCCCTGTGTTCTTGCTGTTAAGAACAAGAGCAAAACATCTTTGTTAAGCCAAGGAAAAGGCATAGTTTCCTTTAACCATGGAAGTCAACCCTGTTTTTTTCAGAAGACTTTCTAACATTTAAGATTAGAATTGGACATAATCTTCCAGAATAAAAAAGATTTTTTATTCAAAATCCCCTGAGATCACACATTTTAGTTGACCACCTACCTCAAATCCTGTTTAGAGTCACTACTTCATCACTTCATGATGCATTTCCCACTCTAAAAGTAGGATGTTATTCTTTAGTCTTGGATGCATGCTACCTTTTCCCTTTAGTCATATGAAAAGTATGCCATTAGTATGTATTTATTTCCTTCTTATACACACCTACGGTTAAGAGTCCCAAACGTTTGGGTAATATGCATAAGAAGCAGAGGCAGAAGTATTAAATGAGCTGGAAACAGAAGAGGCATTAAGCTGAGCTACAAGAGGAACAGATGAGAAAACCACGAATGTCAGTTTCCCTCCATCTCACACTCGGAGCCCTGTGCTGGGGCACTGATTCCTATGTGCTGAAAGATTCAGCTGGACTGATTAACTAGATTATAATTTTCATTTTTTTACTCTCACAGACAGTATTGACTCTACTGCAGGGATACAGTATGAATTAGACCATGAACGCTGCAGGCTACTGACAAACACATCAAAGTAAATGAACACTGATTTCTTTGAATCTGTTCCTGCATGTGAGTCACCACAGTCAATTATCCAAATCAAATGTATGAACAGTAGGCAGCAAAAATACTGATTCAGATTAAGTCATGCACAAAATCTGTCTGTGCCACAGGAGAAAGATTTGATTTCCATTTGTGATGTTGTGGCATGATCACCATAAAGAGGATTCAGCAGCAATGCTGGTACAGGGAACACTCCCCACCAGCCCTTCAGATGCACTGGCGTAACTTCGCGTGGCCCCAGAGCCGGGCAGAAGGGAAGAGCTGATCCTTACAGGTGGCCAGGAAACAAATATTCTGTCCGAGTATTCTTAACGCATCTCAAGAGACAACTCGCTACTGGGACAGACCCGGGGCAGGGAGGTGACTGTGCTGCGTAAGGAGCGCGGAAACACATGGGGGTGAGACTTCACCAAAATTACACCGGCACCTCCCGCCACCGCCCTGCGCGCCCATCGCTGGGAGCTGGAGCGGCTCCTACACACCAGCCGGCCGGGCCTGCGGAGCGAAGCCCGCGGGGGGCGGAGAGCAGCCGCTCACCTCCTACCAGCTTCGGCACCTTCCCGATGCGGCCCGTGATCTCTGCCGTGAGCACGGCGAAGTCCTGCTCGTAGCTCTCGAAGTCGGAGGACATCGCGGCGATGGCGCTGCCGGTGCCGGGGGCGCCGCTCCGGACCGCAGCGCTTCCGTGTTCTGCCACCCCAAAACGCGTCCCCCACCCCGTCCTCGGGCTCCTCGCCACACGTTCCGGCGAATCTCAGGTGCTTTAACCGGTACGGCCCAGCCCCTCTCGGCCGTCTCGACAACTCCTGGATGACCTTGGCGCACGGGATCGCGCCGCACCGCAGGTAGCGAGGAGAGGCGGCAGAGACGGGTCACTCCCGCCCCGCAGCCTCTCACGCCCCGCCTCGTAACCTGCAGGAGGGGAGGAACGCGGCTGCGGCGCTACCGGCGGGCCGCTGTTTCCCGGGGGGCCCGTATTGCAAGCGGACCGCGGGTGGGCGGTGGCAGCGCGAGCGCCGCTCCCGCCCCCGCTCCTCCCCTTCCCTCCCCTCCCCTTCCCACTCCCTTCCCTCCCCTCCTCTTCCCGCTCCCTTCCCTTTTCCCTTCCCGCCCTCGCCCTCGGCAGCCGGCGGGAGCCATGCACGGCGGCGGCGGGGAGGCAGCGGTCGGGCGGCGGTAGCGGCGATGGTGGGGCCGGGCGCGCTGCAGCGGGCGCGGCGCCTGTGCCACTGGGGCCCGGCGGTGGCGCTGGCCGTGGTGGCCGTGTGCTCCGCCACCGCCATGGCCGACGCCGCGCTCTGGTACTGGCCCCTGGACACGGCCGGGGGAAGCGTCAACTTCGTGATGCTGCTCAACTGGACCGTCATGATCCTCTACAACTACTTCAGCGCCATGTTTGTGGGCCCCGGGTACGTCCCGCTGGGGTGGACGCCGGTAAGCGCTGCCTTGCGACCGCCTCGTCCCGGGGCCTCGCGGGGGACCGGCGGGCAGCCCTGGGGCCGGGCCGGCCGCCCCGCGGTCAGGACAGTAGAAATCGCGTGTCTTTCGATGCCACCGTTTCTCCTCTGTCCCCCAAGAACACTGCACGCTCTCAGGCCATTACTTCCTCCTTATCTTGTGCCAAAATCTTTCCTTTGCCTCTCCCCGCTTTGCTCTTGCAGCTTCCAGAGTTTCCAGTACAACCCAGTTTGCTCCTGATACCGAAATCCAGCAGATAGAAACTTTTAAACACAGTTTTGGTATTAGAAAGCAGGACGCTGGACGCTTCAATTATCCGTTCTCTAATAACCGAGTGGGCCGAGCGTTGGGTAAACATGAGTTTTTATCACCCACACTGATTACACATTCATTCGCTATCGCCACTTTCTTAATGTATAAACAAATGTAATGTATACGCAGAGCTTTACTTTGCATTGTCGAAGTCCTTATGTGGCCTTTTGGGGTCTTCTTTGGTTGTCCTCAGTGGCCAGCGTTGTAATATTTCAGGTGGCCGTTCCTTGACCCTGGCTCTGCACAGCACTGTTGATTTCCGTGACTCCTGCTTTGACAGCCTTGCAGAGCTGAGCCGGCTTCCGGCTTGCCTAAATTACTTACTTGCTTCTCCAAGGCTCTCTTCTGTTCTGCTGCCCTTCTCCATCCCCTCTCTGTGCTGTCAGGGGTCTGGTAAGGTTGCTTGGCAGGCAGCAGTTGCTGCGTTTTGTTTTATAAGGGGTTTCTCAAAGCAAAGCAGCAGGAAACAACCACTCTTAGCTGGGAATGAGAACGTCAAGGTTATGTGCGTGCTCCTTCAGACCCCTGTTTTGGGGATTTTGCTGCTAGCAGGAACAATTAGAAGTAATTAATTTAAAAAATATTTTTATTTTATGCAAGCCAGAAACTTATATGCTTACCTTCTGCTTAACACAGTGCAAGAGAGAAATTTGCATTTCCTGTGCTTCAGTAATCACTTGGCAGAGTTGTAGTCAAGAATGATACAGGTTCAGTATCTCAAGGCAGCTGCCCAGAGTTTGTGTTCCACTGGCATGATACAAAGTTTAATGCTGGTCAGCTTTCTAATCCTGGAATATTATTACTCAAGACACAGTCTAGACAGAAGAGAATCCTGATAATTGTCTTAGTAGGACAACTGGGTGCTTCACTTCGTGAGTGCAGGATTTTGGCCACTACTTGCCATCTGCAAGTGTCTGTCTCTCATCTTGCTGTAGTTGGGGTGTGTGTGAGTAAAAGAGATTGTGAGAGAGTTGAACATTAGTGGTTACCAGTGCTGTATCTTAGTAGTAAGCTTAGAGTGGTTTATGGTGTAAAATAGAGAGAAAATGTGCTCAGGTTTTGGTTTTTTTTTAATTAAAATGGCCTTATGCTGACTTTTACTCTCAGAACTTCACTATGAAACCCTGCTTGTACAGTTGCTCTTCCTGACAGAAGAACTGTTTATTTCTTTTAGTAGCCAGCATTTTCAGCAGTGGGAGATGGCTGTGTTGATAGCTAGGAGATTATTTAATTTTGTCTTTTCCTCACCCTGACGCCTACCATTAATAGGGTTGAACTAGAAACACACCCTGTCAGAAGAAATCAAAGCTGCTTAGGAAAATGCCAAGATAAACATTGCCAACGGAGTTGTGTATACATCTGACACTCCTATTCTTCTGTTTAAAGGAAAAATCTCAGGATTGCATGTATCTCCAATACTGTAAAGTGTGTCAGTCTTACAAGGCACCTCGTTCACACCACTGTCGGAAGTGTAACAGGTACTGTTTCTCTTTACAATTGTATAAAGTCCATATCAGAGCAGCTTCAAATCTGATGATGGGCCATTACTGTAATTTGTGCTTCCAGCGCTCACATTGTGTTTTTTCAAAAAAGCTTCCATATGAACACTAAGGCCCTTTCCACTTTCTAGTTGTATGATATCTATACAGTTTTGCTGTGTTTTACTTTAGAAAAATTACTGCCTTTAACATTTTCTTTATAGTTTTAAATCAGTTAAGAGCTTCTTGATGGTACTAACAAAACAATGCAGTCCTGCTTCAGAGATGCGAGTCTGTGTAAACACCTAAAAATAATCTGAAATTCCTTATAAATTCTGAGTCCAAACATTGATCTGCTGAGAGAGCAGAAATATCTGTTCTGTCATCTTTCCAAATAAGAATTAAGTGTTCATTTGAGTGGAAATTTTGGACTGTTTTTTTATTCTTCCCCAAGCAGGTTTTTGAGGGGAGTTGACATGTTAAGTGAAGTAATAAACCTTTTGGGTCAAGTCAAGAAGTTTGCACTTTGTTATCTTCCAAAACACTCGTCCTGATACAAAGGACACTTTATTATAAATAGCTGTCACTAGAATTTAGTGCAGCTTGAAAAAATCAAGGCACTTCAGCTGTCTGCAGTCCAGGCAGGTTGTCCTCTGAAGGACTCTTAGGAGAATGTGGTGAAAGGATATTGCAACATATTCATTCATTTGTTGTTTCTATAAACCCAAGATGTGCAGTCAATGTTTTTTTAGGAAACAGAAACTGAAGCTCCAGAGCAGTGCTGTAATTTGGCTACATCATCCCCAGATTTAAAATTAACAACTCTTTTCCTTGAGTGGCAATCTTTACACTGAGAACTGATCACTTAGATGGTCACGTAGAGTTTTGCACCTCTCAAGGTAATTTGGGATGTGAACAAATCTTTAATCAGGTGGGGGGTTTTTTGTATCTGTAAGCTACATCAAAATATCTGGCTTTATACTGAATACTAGAGTGTCTCTAGGGTGTTCACACTTGTTAAATGTATTTTTCTTGAAGGGATTTTCAATGGTGTGAGGTCAATAAATACATAGCAACTGAGAAAGCTTTCAGAGGGTTCACCACTGGAAAGAGTCACTATCACACTTCTGTCTCTATATCTCTCTTTAAATACTCCACAAGTAGTTCACAGGGAATTTGATATTTCCTTTATTTTTCTGATATTCTTATTTTTAAAAACGGACATTGACAGTTGTGCTTAATTATTGTTATCGTTGTTCTTACAAGTCCCCTTCTATGGCTCTGTCTCCAGGCTCTGTACTAGGGTGTCTATTAGCAACTAGTTAGTTTGAGAAAAGTAACTAGGGAGGGTAGGACCTGGAAGCACTTTTTATTTGCTTTTTAAAATTCTACAACATGGAAATATAATTCTGAATAGCAACTAAAAAGAAACTACTGTGTTGATCTGTCAGAAATTGGAGGGTTCAAGTGAAAGAATGGAGGTTGAAAAGTAGAAAGTCACCCATTCTTTGAGTTTTTTTTGAGAAACATACATGTCCTTTCTATTAATCAATATTTATTATTCACAGATGTGTGATGAAGATGGATCACCACTGTCCTTGGATCAACAACTGTTGTGGATACCAGAATCATGCATCTTTCACTCTGTTTCTCCTCTTAGCTCCACTGGGATGCATTCACGCTTCTTTCATATTTATTATGACAATGTACACTCAGCTTTACAACAGAGTAAGAAAACAAAACTAAATGCTTAAAATGTTTTTTAAGTCGGGTGCATAATTTATCTCTGGAAGTACAAGAGAATTTGGTTTTCTGAGAAGAAGTCTGTGGAATTCCTTGTTATTCTTGCCACATGCACTCCTAGTTCTGCTGTGTACCTCTATGTGTGTGAATGGAGGGGGATTCAGAGAAAGTTGTTTCTGTTTTCATTCTTTTTTTTGCTTTTTTTCCCTATTGCTTCTCATAATCACAGGGAGTTTTCTTTTGCTTTACATTGACTGAAGACAGTTTCTGAGTAGTACTTTATGTAGAGAGAGACAGTCTATGTTTTGCCTAGCACAGAAAACAGCTGCTACTTATTTCCAACACACAAGTTAGATCCTGTTTATTTTCTTTTACTGGCCATTTTTCTAGAATTGTGCCTATTTCTTCAAGGAAAAAAAAGTACATTATTTTTTGGGACTAAAAATAAATATATTAACTGTGGGATTTTTAACTGGAAAACCTCAAGAGTGAGCAAAGCTTGTTCTGGAGTATACCCCTTATCTCAGATCCATGGTTAAGATTATAAGCTTTGATTTCAACTTTTGTGGTTGCAGTGAAGAGCTTGATAACATCAGCTGAGTGTAACAGATGAAGTTGTATTTGTAGCAGCTGAGCTGTGTTTGCAGAGGGATAATGTTAAGAACTGCTGTCTGCAATGCTTTTAGAGAAAAACCTGCA